AGGCTAACAATGAGCTGTCTGCAAAGATAAACCGCTCTGAGAGAGCTCAGGAGTCTATAAGAAAATTCAGCAACTCAGTGGTACAAAAACCTGAGAATAATCACACAGAAATGAAAGGAAAAAGAGCTTCATTTTGTCTGCAGTCTCCCATCCCCTAGGCAGGCTCTGCTCAGCCCCAAGAGAAACCTCCTAGACTAGGAAGAATTCCCCACCCCAGGAAAAGGTGGCGTGACCAGCTTCCCCAGCCTTTTGGGGCATCACACAAAGGACCTGTTGAGTTTATCCTACTCAGAGACCAGCAAAGCTGAGACACACAACAGTGTCAGCCATGCAGCTGGTAACAACTATGGTGCCCTGGTCCACAGGCCTCTGTGGCTTTCCCCATGGGAATTCCAATCCCCAACCATCTGCTACCTGCTCCCCACCCTCCCCTGACCCCACCCGAGCCCAGGATCTGGACTGGCAGCCTACCCAGACCTCTGAAGCTACACGGTGCCAGATACCAGCCTAGGCCCCTGAGGTTGACCCCCCCTGCTAGATGCATACTTGTGACCTGCCCCTTCCAGCCATGTATGCTAGATGCATATTTGTGACCTGCCCCTTCCAGCCGTTGTACCTGCACACGCCCAGGCTGATCCCCATCGCCAGCTTCCACTGCTGTGTACAGGCCTGTGGGAAGATGCTGCAGCTCTGGGGGAGCACACCACCTGCCTGATGGGCCCACACTTGGCCCAGACCCTTGCTACCGGCTCTGTTCCCCACCACTGTGTGTGTGTTTACAGCCAGCCCCTGCCACTACACATGCACCTGCAGCAGGCCTCCCAGCCAGATGTGTGCATGCCCCAAGCTCCCTGTCATCCCTGCTTCCTGCCCTGATCAGCAGGCCTCCCCAGACAGATGTGTGCATGCCTCAAGCTCCAGGCTGTCACTGCTTTCTGCCCTGATCCCTAGATGCTGAACCTGGAGGTGCCGCTGGGGAACCCACCAGCCCTTGCAGACACTGCAGACCCCCCACAGTGCTTGTCAGGAGCCACACAGTTGATGCTGTGACCCTCTGTGACCTGAGTCAATGACACAGTATCCCTCCCACCCAGACACACACCTGCACTTGACACCCTGTACCACACTGGGCCTGAGTCACAGCATGTTCCAGCACATCCCCACCTAAGGTGAAGGGCTTATACCAAAGTCAGTTCGTAAAGTTTGGGTGAGGTAACTGCATACACACCTATGCAAGACTTCAGGGATCACAGAGAATCAGGGAGTCATGAGACCACCAAAGGAACATGGCAGACTTCCAGCAACTCTCCCTAAAGAAATGGAGATACATGAGTTGCCCAACAAAGAATTCAAAACAATTGTTCTAAAAATGCTCAGAGAGCTACAGGAGAACATAGATAAAACAATTAACAAAATCATGAAAGCAAGAACAAAATGAGAAGTTTAATAAAAAGCATACAGAAGAACCAAACAAATTTTGGAGCTGAAGAGTACAGTGACTGAACTGAAGAACTTAATACAGAGCTTCAACAACAGACTAGATCGAGCAGAAGAAAGAATCAGTGAGCTTGAAGACAGAGCATTTGAAATTATCCAAACAGAAGGGGATGGGGGAAGGATGAAGAGAAATGGAAAGCTTACAGGACTTCTGAGACACCATTAAGAGACAGTCTGCACATCAGTGGAGCCCCAGGAGGAGAAGGGGGGAGGGAGGGCAGGAAGCTTGTTTGAATAAATGAGGACTGAGAACTTCCCAAACCTGGGTAGGCATTTGGACATCCAAGTTTCAGTCTGAAACACTCTTGTCCAAGACACATTTTTAACAAAACTGTCTAAAATCATAACTTCCAGAGCAGCCCCTTCATTTGTGACTATTGGCTTCAGTGCATAGTTATCCAGTTGTTTACATTCTAGGTCAAGAGCCTTACTGTTTAAGTTGCAGGTTTTGTTGTTTGGATCAATATTTCTTGGAAATGCTATCTGTACACTCTTAGTTGGCCTCTTGTTACATGACAGTACAGCCTGTGGGCAAGCAGTTGTCCAGAATGCTGTTTTGTCTGTCTGCGCTGACCTGTACATGAGGCTGTGAGGGGCAACTGAGGATGTAATTGTCGATAAATGTCTGCTTTCAGGCCTAGACCCACTCAGCTATCCAAGACTTGCAGGATGGGTCATCAATGCTTGGGGTGAAATGTGTGAAATCTCTCAATTTTGTTAACACACACTCTGTTACAGTTAACAAGTCCTTGTGTTGAAGCAGAAGCCAGAGCTATAAAAATGAACTGCTGCCCTTTCAAAGCGGTAGTAGAGTTTTATAATATATATATATATAATAATAGTTTCCCTACTCTAAGATGAAATGGTTTCACCTGAAGCTTTTAAATTTTTTTTTTTCTATTTAGGTTTTTTATACCTGTTTTTAGCTGATTTTTCCAGTGTTAGTCCTACCTGAACTGTGAGAACTCCACTTTTGCACTTGGAGAAAGTCAGTACCCAAGTGCTACTTTGCTTGTTCACTGTGTCTCTGATCAAGGTATAGGATTTCGTGCCCACTTTTCTTCCTTTAAAAAAAAAAACACAGTTAATCGAGAAATTATGGGAGAATTTTTAGTTTAATACTCATTTTTCATATTGTTATTTGAAATGCCTGTAACTGAAACCTGAAGGGGCATAGCACTTTTTACACTTTAAAAGTGTTCTCACATGTAACATCTGATTGAACCTTAAAAACAGCCCTTTGCAGTGGCACAGAACAGAAGTAGGCTCATTTCACAGCCCAAGTGCCTGAGATGCGGAGACAGGGGCCACCACCCCCAGGACGTGGATAGCAGGTCCAGGGGAAGCCCTGTGCTCCCCCGGGCAGCACCATCAGACAGAGCACTGGGTTTTCTGTTGACTGGAATATTCTTTTTTTCCTTCAAAATTGATGGCAATTTCAAACACATGTTTATTGGAATTTCAAGAGCCATAAAACATTCTTTTTTATAATTAATTTATTAGTTTTAATTGGAGGATAATTACAATGTTGTGATGGTTTTTGCCATACATCAGCATGATACAACAGGTATACATCAGTCGCCCCCCCTATCCTGAACCCCTCTCCCACGTCCCTCCGCACCCTAACTGGTAAGAGTATTTTCCATGTTTAAAATGCCTTTAGTGCTAAACTGTCTGCGGTGGGAAACAAGTTGATTTCGTCACTGTGAAGCCATGCTTTAAAGAAGAGAAGTTTGCAAGTTTGATAACTTGTTTTATTGTCCTTGCCTTCAACACATTGAAAATACGATCAATTGAAAATGCACGACTGAAAATGCATGCCGACCGATTTTCAGAACGCTTGTCACAATGTTCTTGTGTTTTGTGGTGAAAGCTCTATCGTGGTTGCTGTGGGTCAGATGTTACTCTAACGGTGAGCCCTGTCTGAGGGCCTGTGCTCTGGCCATGGCCCTCCTGGCCTGGGGGTGGTCTCTGCCTCACAGCCCTCCCCACTGCATGCACTGTGTGTGGTTACTGTGGCAACACCCCTGTGCCGTCTGCCAATAAAGTCCTGCCGCCGGCCCTCATCCATGCTGCCTCTCTTCTCTGCTTATTTAACTTGGTCCTTGAGCAAGAATAGAAGAAAAATGTCTCTACGCACTTATTTTTACTTGAGTTGTAACTATCTGATTATTCTACTCTGGCCTTCCTTTTTTAATTTCCAAGAGTAATATTGGCTTTAAACACTGGTGGGTGACTTCAGACTTTTACCCGATTCAGTTACATTTTGGGATCCGTGTATCGACCTCAACTTTAGGCCAAGTCTACTGTTTGTCCTTGAGGACGTCCCAGGGGGTGGTGTCTCACTCATAGTCAGAGCTATTCTCATGGGGGGACCTCACACCAGCAGTGCTTGACCAGGTATGGGTACAATTCTAGTTCATAGAAAACATCGTTGAAGACACAGCCAGCAGTGTTGGGCAGGAACCATCCCTGAGGGACCAGGCGCAGTGCCCGGCGCGGGGCCCCAGCAAGGTGGGCTGTTGAAGGGGGCTCCTGGCAGGAAGCAGGCATTTGGTCCCGACCCCCAGGGTTCCTCACAAGGGGCAGAAGGCAGCATAGAGACAGAAGACTCTCCCTCTGCCCCATGCTTGTGAAATCCTCAGTGATCTCAGGCCACAGTCAGCACCTAGTTCATAAACCCAGTGAAGGATGGGTTAACAGCCGTGACACTTGTCACGAGTGCTTGTGCACTTAGACGCTCACCGTGTCTGACTCTTTGCAACCCCATGGACTGCAGCCCACCAGGCTCCTCTGTCCATGGGGTTCTCCAGGCAAGAATACTGGAGTGGGTTGCCATTCTCTCTCCAGGGTATCTTCCTGACCCAGGGATTGAACCTGGGCCCACTGCACTGCAGGTGGATTCTGTACCATCTGAGCCACCAGGGGAGCCTAGCTGTCACAAGTAGTCACTCTTAACTAGTTTGATCTACCTCTCATAGACAACATGGCCAATGTTTTGGCTTTAAATTGAAGCCATATTCACACCAAGATCCTAGGCAACAGGCATAGTGTCCCCTCCCCACAGGCCACCAGGCTTCCTGCCCCTGTGCAGACATGAGCAGAGGAGATCTGCTGGACCTTCCTGATGCTGAAGACACCCCGCACTTCCCTTTCTTCATTGCACCCCCTGTAGGTAGCTGCTAATGGGCGGAGGGGGGTAGTATGTGAATGCGCCCCCTTCTGCTTGGGACGCTGCATTGTCATCAGCTCCCTGGCCAGGGCATCTGCCCGTGTGTGGATGTGGGGGAAGCCTGGGAGTGGGGCTGCCCCTCAAAGATGTGCTCATCTTTAAGGGCCATAAAGCCAAACTGCCCTCCAGAGAGCTTGTGCCAGCCTACCCTCCCACTAACAGTGTGGGAGTGCTGTGCTGTACTTAGTCGCTCCGTCGTGTCCAGCTCTTTGTGACCCCGTGGACTGCAGCCCACCAGACTCCTCTGTCCGTGGGGATTCTCCAGGCAAGAATGCTGGAGTGGGTTGCCATGTCTTCCTCCAGGGGATCTTCCAACCTCGGGATCAAACCCAGGTCTCCTGCATTGCAGACAGATTCTTTACCTTCTGAGCCACCAGGGAAGCCCAGGAATACTCAAGTGGGTAGCCTGTCCCTTCTCCAGGGGAGGATCGTCCTGACCCAGGAATTGAACCAGGGTGTCCTGCATTGCAGGCAGATTCTTTACCAGCAAAGCTACCAGGAAGCCCAAGAGTGCCGGAGACCCAAACTTAAATTCATGCTGCTTACCAAAAAAAGCAGTGTTTTTTTTTTTTTCAATTAAGGTTTACATTTTGTCTTTATTCAATTTTAACCTTTGGCCGTCGTGAAGAAGGTATTGTTTAATCTACAAACAGCTGTCACAGGCTAGGAGTGCCGCCGTCATGCAGTGTACACCACAGTCATTCCTGGGAGGTCAGTCCTGCTATAGGGAAAAATGGAGCAGAGTTTGTGTGTCCAGAAGGGAACACTTGAAAAACCAGCAGCCTGGCTCACCTCAGCAAGCCCTGGTTCTTCTGAAAAACTTGATAGGCTTCTATTGTTACTGTAATCAAGTTAAAGTTTTACTCCTAGGAAAGGTTAGTCTATTTGGTGTAAATTCAGGGCTTATACCTCACTACCGAACAATCTCCATGTTTTGAATATGGTAAAGAATCTGCCTGCCCGTGCAGGAAACTCGGGTTTAGTCCCTGGGTCAGGAAGATCCCCTGGAGAAGGAAATGGCAACCCACTCCAGTATTCTTGCCTGAGAAATCCCATGGGCAGAGGAACCTGGCAGGCTACAGTCCATGATGTTGCAAAAGAGTCGGACACAACTTAGAGATTAAACAACAACAAATGTTAAAGGTATGCTCCAAACTGGTTCAGGCCCAGGAGAGGAGGCTGTGGTCCACAGCCCTACAGGCCCCAGCTGGTCCTGCTTTCAGCCTGACTTAACCATCACAAACTTGCTTTTCAGAGGGATGCATAGTTTCAAAGAGTGGGTATTTAGTTTTTGCTTTTATCTGTTTTCTTATGTGTCAAAAGTCAAAGCAGTGAGGAAACTCACCGGGGCCTCCTTGCTTCCCCTGGCTCCCCGCTTCCCCTACTCCTAATAGTGACTGCTGGCTAGTCTGTGTATCCTTCCAGAGCCTCTTGACATGGATACAGATGTTATTCCTCCTTCCTGTCTTACACAGAAAAGCAACATGTTACACACATTGTTTCCATATGCATTGTACCTTGGAGTGAGCTTTCTTCTCACTGAAGGCTGCAGAATGTCCCATTGTGTGGATATGCCATGTTTTCTTTAACCAGCTCCTTACTGATAAACAACTGTGTTGCTTCCAATTCTCTGGTTCTCATGAGGTAATTCCAAAACATATGATTAATGACAGCATCATCAATTTCTATCTTCATTCACATTCATTAGAAAAGTAACATTATTCCTCCTAGTTCAGCCTCTTCATATGCAGAGGCAAGAACAATTTACAAAATTGGGTGGAAGGGGGAAAAGAAATCCAGCAAGAAATATTAAAGACTTTTTCAACGAAAACTTTATTAAATAAATACATGAAGACCCAACTTAAATGGAGACATATTCTATTTGGGGATACAAAGACTCACTACTACTATAAAGATGTCAATCACCTCAAAATTAGTAAATTCAATAGAGTTTAACAAAATTCCCAAATGGAATGTTAAAATAGAAATCGACTACAAGCAATAAATGCTGGAGAGGGTGTGGAGAAAAGGGAACCCTCTTACACTGTTGGTGGGAATGCAAACTAGTACAGCCACTATAGAAAACAGTGTGGAGACTTCTTAAAAAACTGGAAATAGAACTGCCATATGACCCAGCAATCCCACTTCTGGGCATACACACCGAGGAAACCAGATCTGAAAGAGACACGTGCACCCCAATGTTCATCGCAGCACTGTTTATAATAGCCAGGACATGGAAGCAACCTAGATGCCCATCAGCAGATGGGTGGATAAGGAAGCTGTGGTACATATACACCATGGAATATTACTCAGCCATTAAAAAGAATTCATTTGAATCAGTTCTAATGAGATGGATGAAACTGGAGCCCATTATACAGAGTGAAGTAAGCCAGAAAGATAAAGACCATTACAGTATACTAACACATATATATGGAATTTAGAAAGATGGTAACAATAACCCTATATGCAAAACAGAAAAAGAGACACAGATGTATAGAACAGACTTGTGGACTCTGTGGGAGAAGGCGAGGGTGGGATGTTTCAAGAGAACAGCATCGAAACATGTATATTATCTAGGGTGAAACAGATCACCAGCCCAGGTTGGATGCATGAGACAAGTGCTCGGGCCTGGTGCACTGGGAAGACCCAGAGGGATCGGGTGGAGAGGGAGGTGGGAGGGGGGACTGGGATGGGGAATACATGTAACTCCATGGCTGATTCATGTCAGTGTATGGCAAGAACCACTGCAATGTTGTAAACTAATTAGACTCCAACTAATAAAAATAAATGAAAAAAAAAAAGAAATCGACAAGCTCATTCAAAAGTTCGTATAGGAAAGAAAATAACCAAGGAAAGTAAAGAACAAGGTGGGGGGGTGAGGTGGCGGCGGGAGTGGTGGGGTTGCGGGCGAGGCTGAGCGAGTGGAGCAAACCAAGCGGCCGGCCGGGAACGTGACGACTATTGCGGGTCTCGGGTGTGCGAGTGGCGAAAGAAGAAATGATGTAAACCATTCACTATCCAGACTTTAAGGTCACAGTGAGAAGGAAGGTCAGGAGGAACATGGCCTGGCCAAATTTTTTTCAAAGAGGAACTCTGCTCTCCCGGTTTAGTCATCATCACGTGGTCGTGTTCCTGCTCACCTTCTTCAGTTACTCGTTGCTCCATGCGTCAAGAAAAACATTTAGCAATGTCAAAGTCAGTATCTCTAAGCAGTGGACCCCAAGTGCTTTTAACAAGTTAATTGAATTACTGCCTGTGGAGATTTGGAGCAGCAACCATTTATTTGTTTCCCAGCGCAGAGGAAGCCACTCTTTTCCTCGGAACGCTGGACACCGTTTTCCTCTTCTCCTATGCTGTGGGCCTTTTCGTCAGCGGTATCGTCGGGGATCGGCTGAATTTGCGATGGGTTCTGTCTTTTGGCATGTGCTCTTCTGCATTAGTGGTGTTTGTCTTTGGCGCTCTCACGGAATGGCTGCATTTCTACAAGGGGCTGTACTGCAGCCTGTGGATCGTGAACGGCCTGCTGCAGTCCACCGGCTGGCCCTGCGTGGCTGCTGTTATGGGCAACTGGTTTGGGAAAGCTGGGCGAGGGGTTGTCTTTGGTCTCTGGAGTGCCTGTGCCTCAGTGGGCAATATTTTGGGTGCATGTCTCGCTTCGTCTGTTCTGCAGTATGGTTATGAGTATGCCTTCCTGGTGAAGGCGGCCGTGCAGTTTGCTGGTGGGATCGTCATCTTCTTTGGACTCCTGGTGTCATCGGAAGAAATCGGTATCCCAGGTATCGAGACAGAAGAAAATTTAGAAGACTCGCACAGGCCGTTAATTAATGGTGCTGAAAACGAAGATGAAGCTGAGCCTAATTATTCAATCCAAGAAGGCAATACTGTGACCCAAGTGAAGGCAATAAGCTTCTTCCAGGCTTGTTGCCTTCCTGGAGTTATAGCGTATTCACTGGCCTACGCATGCTTGAAGTTAGTGGATTATTCCTTCTTCTTCTGGTTGCCCTTTTATCTGAGTAACAACTTTGGATGGAAGGAGGCTGAAGCTGACCAGCTGTCCATCTGGTACGACGTCGGAGGAATTATAGGTGGAACGCTGCAAGGCTTCATCTCTGACATGTTACAGAGGAGAGCGCCGGTGTTAGCTCTCAGTCTGCTTCTGGCCATCGGGTCCCTGGTTGGATACAGTAGATTCTTTATTGGTGGACCTTCTAATATGATAAGCTCTGCTATTTCTGCGGACCTGGGTCGTCAGGAGTTGATCCAAGGGAGCAGTGAGGCTTTGGCAACCATCACTGGGATCGTTGATGGAACCGGGAGCATTGGAGCTGCAGTGGGCCAGTATTTAGTGTCTTTGATCCAGGACAACCTGGGATGGATGTGGGTTTTCTACTTTTTCATTCTTATGACAAGTTGCACAATTCTGTTTATTTCGCCATTAATAGTGAGGGAAACATGCTCTTATGCAAAGACGACAAACTCGCGTATTGAATGAGTGACTGGGGCCCACACAAGAACATCAGGACTCTTACTTCTTTTAATTCTCCCTATTTTGGGTTTGTCTTAAGAACTCCAACATAACCTCAGATTATCAGGCCTCTTTCAGCATTGTCAGCCGCCGGAGATGCTGACCAGAGTGAAGGCTGGGTTGTTTTTTCTACACTACAGGAATTAATGATTTTTATTTATCGCCGTTGTTCCGTGAATGTACCGAATGGCCTGTGAATCTGCCAGCAACTCTGTTGGCCTGTGGAGGTTCATCCCTTTAACCATAAATGCTTTATTGAACTTGGACCCTTGTTCTCCAGCCTGGAAAGCTGAGTGACCACGAGGCAGCTGTGCCTGGTTTTGTAGCAACGACATGCTCCACAAATAGAAAGGATCATTGCATTTTGCTTCGGTCATGAGTTTACAGAGAGCAGCTCACCTCTGAAGCATCACATCCTGGTGCAGCACTCCAGCTGGGTCCAGCGTAAGCCTGTCTGGACAGAGACTCCCTTAGTTAAACTCTTAAGTGGGAAAGTCACACTATGTGCTGAGTGACTCAGTGACTTTGTGTCTGCTCTGAAGTCGATCAGCTCCGGAAGCAGAAATATCTTCCAGTGATTGTCAGCTGTTCTCCTCCATCTTCATTCAGAATTACCTTCAACTCCTGGAAGTCTTTTGTCTTCCTGTCAAGGACCATGAGGTACCTGGGTTGTGAACATTCCAGGATGTAATTTATAACCGAAGTACTCAACCCCAGGCTTGTTCTTGGGGAACTTTTTAGGATCCACTAGGAAGCCAGTCGGCTTAGGCCTATTTTCAGAGGCTCGGTCTCTGTCATAACCGGGTTCCTTGCGTTACCTCAGCAGAAGACGAGAGTTAGAGAAAAAGGAAAGACCTTCTGGCCTTCTTGTCATTAAGTATGTGACACTGAATCACAGTGGATTACTAGGGCCTGAGAGGTATCTCGGTATCTATTCTTTAGATGTTTGTAGAATATACATCTTCAAGGCTGTGAATTCTATACTAATTATCAATATTTTAAGGTCATCCTGTATATATATTTTAAATTATGAAACTGAGCAGGTGAAAAATGTGCAATTTTGAGGGCTGCCTAATTTACATGGAGTTAGGGGAAAATTTTCAACCTCTTGCTTTATACTCTCAAATGTGTGTTTATGAACTTGTTATTTAATCAAGCAGACTTCCAATTGGTTAACTGCTCATTACTGACAGAAAGGGAAACTTCTGAAACACAGGGAAAATAAACTGACTTTTATAATAATAAAAAAAAAAAGAACAAGGTAGGGGTGGGGAGACTTGCCATATCAAATACTAAAATGCACTGCAAAATTAAAACCTTTGAGCTCAGGTGTAGATCCATAGAGGACCAGCATCTAGAACCTTTCCCTTGTATCTGTTGCAGTTTACGAAAAAGTACGATGTGACATTTTAAGTCAGTAAGAGCTCTTCACTGGATGGTGTTAAGTCCTTTTTCTACCCATTTAATTCAATTTTTTTCTTAAAAAGGTTGATCTCAAATTCAAATTCAGCAAAAATTAATTCTAGGTGGATTAAAGGTCTAAAAACAAAAGGTGAGATTTTTTTATTTTAAGGCACTGGAAGAACATACAGAATTTTCATTAAGACCAAAGAGTGAATCTTTCTGTAGGTGATGCTAAATACCTCACCTGTAAAGAAAGTGTTTAAGGTTTCACATCACAAATTAGTATTTCCTATACAACAAACAGAAGCAGAGGAGATTAAGAAGAGGTGGCAAGAATACACATAAGAACTGTATTTAAAAAATCTTAATGACCTGGATAGCCACGATGGTGTGGTCACTCACCTAGAGCCAGACATCCAGGAGTCTGAAGTCAAGTGGGCCTTAGAAAGCATCACTATGAACAAAGCTAGTGAAGGTGATGGAATTCCAGCTGAGCTATTTTAAATCCTAAAAGATGAGGCTGTGAAAGTGCTGCACTCCATGTGCCAGCAAATCTGGAAAACACAGCAGTGGCCACAGTACTGAAAAAAGTCAGTTTTCATTCCAATCCCAAAGAAGGACAATGCCAAAGAATGTTCAAACTACCACACAATTGAACTCATTTCACATATTAGCAAGGTAATGCTCAAAATCCTTCAAGCTAGGCTTCAACAGTATGTATGTGAACCGAGAACTTCCAGATGTACAAGCTGGGTTGAGAAAAGGCAGAGGAGCCAAAGATCAAATTGCCAACATCTGTTGAATCGTAGAAAAGGCAAGGGAATTCCAGGAAAACATCTACTTCTGCTTCATTGACTACGCTAAAGCCTTTGACTGCGTGGATCACAAGAAACTGGAAAATTCTTAGAGATGGGGATACTAGACCACGTTACCTGCCTCCTGAGAAACCTATATGCAGGTCAAGAAGTAAGAGAACCGGACATGGAACAACGGACTGGTTCAAAATTGGGAAAGGAGTATGTCGAGGCTGTATGTTGTCACCCAGCTTATTTAAGTTACATGCAGAGTGCATCATGAGAAACACATCCAACATGTGCTGGAAGGATCACAAGCTGGAATCAAGATGGCCAGAAGAAATATCAACAACCTCAAGTATGCAGATGATACCACCCTAATGGCAGAAAGTGAAGAGAAACTAAAGAGCTTCTTAAGGAAGGTGAAAGAGGAGAGTGGAAAAACCGGCTTAAAACTCAACATTCAAAAAATTAAGATCATGGTATCTGATCCCATCACTTCATGGCAAAAAGGTGGGGAAAAAATGGAGACAGTGACAGATTTTGTTTTCTTGGCTCCAAAATCACTGTGACTGCAATCATGAAATTAAAAGACGCTTGCTCCTTGGAAGAGTAGGTATGACAAAGCTAAGCAGTCAGTGTATTAAAAAGCAGAAACATCATTTTGCAAATAGTCAAAGCTATGGTTTTTCCAGTAGTCATGTACTTATATGAGAGTTGGACCATAAAGAAGGCCAAGCCCCAAAGAATTGATGCTTTCGAATTGTGGTGCTGGAGAAGACTCTTGAGAGTCCCTTGGACAGCAAAGAAATCAAACCAGTCAATTGTAAAGGAAATCAACCCTGAATATTCATTGGAAGTACTGATGCTGTAGCTCCAATACTCTGGCTACCTGATGCAAAGAGCCAACTCATTGGAAAAGACCCTGATGCTGGGAAAGATTGAGGGCAAGAGGAGAGAGGAGCAACAGTCTTGATGGCTCCAGAGATGGTTGGATGGCATCACTGACTCAATAGACATGAGTTTGAGCAAACTCAGACAGTGAAGGATAGGGAATCCTGGTGTGCTACAGTCCATGAGCTCAAAAAGAGGAGGATACCACTTAGCGACTGAACAACAACAACACAACAAAAGAAAGCGTAAAGTTAGCATTGGGCTAACTTTAATGAAATTCAAATTCAGATAACCACATTTTTTTCCTGATATTGCTAATCTTTGGCTTGTTCTTTTTTTGTCAAGCTTGCTAGAGGCTTATCAGTTTTATTGATCTTTTCAGAGAAACAGCTTTTGGCTTCATTTGTTTTTGTTCTCAATTTCCTTGATTTCTGCTTTTTCCTTCATTGAAGATGTGGTCTTGCTTTGCTTATTTTTTTCTAGTCTAAGATGGGAGCTTATATTATTGCTGAGACCGTCTTTCTTAACATAAGCTCTCAATGCTAATCAGTTCCTTCTAAGCACTGCTTTAACCGTGCCCAAAATTTTTTATATGTTGTAATTTCATTTTTCTCCTATTTAAAATAGCTTCTGATTTCTCTTTGAGATCATCTTTTTGGTGGATTATTTATGAGCAGGTTATTTAATTTCCAACTGATTGAGATTTTTCCCTTCTTTACTGATTTCTAGTTTAATTCCATTATAATCAGAAACATGAGTTGTATGATTTTTAATGTAAGATTATTTTAATAACCAGGATATGGACTTGTCTTGATGAGTGTTCCATGTGCACTTGAAAATTTTTTGTTCTTTTTTTGGGTAGTGTTCTATAAATGTCAGAGTGAGTTGGTTAATGGTATTGTCTAGCCCTTCTAATAGCTTTACTAATTTTTTGTCTACTAGTTCTATTACTGATAGGTCTTTAACTATAATTGTAAATTTGTCTAGTTCTCCTTTCAGGGGTCAGGTGTGTTCCTTCATAATATTTTGCCTCAGGAAAATTTGCTTTGTATTTTTTTAATAGAGTAATAATTTTTATTTTGTTGTATAATCCATATTAAAGAGAGTGATTTAAATGGCTCCTGTGATGTATGGAGTATTCGATATCTCAAAGGCCTTGAGTCCAGGCTGTAAGAACCTTAGAACTTAATAAGATGATTGGCATGCATTTTTTAAAAACTATTTACTTTTCCCCTTTTACTGGAAGACCAGTTTATGGGACCACACTAGGAGGACAGAAGAAGAGGAGTAAACCCGCCCACGGAGCCACCACGTCTCCTGTGACAGTGCCGCTCTCCCCGTGCGTGCAGAGAGCCCCAGCCCATCCTGCATCCTGTCAGCTTGTAGCGACGCTGTCTGCCATGCTTCCCACAAGCCTGCCAGATTCCAGGGACAGGCACAGCTCACACTCACTGCAGCACAGGTGCTCGTCTCTTGGAAAGCTCTCCTGTTAGGGTCTGAGTGAGAGCCCGCTGCTGTCTCCCCCACTGTAGCTCTCTTCTGCCTCTGCCAACTCTGACCCCAGGTGAGAAGAGGCTTCCCACATATCAAGCAGTTTTTCAGCCTCAGCTGAGTGTCCTTCAGTTCAGCTCAATTCTGACAATGTACTTGGAGAGAGTGGCAGGTCCCACGAGTTAAGGGCTCAGCCACATGAGCCTGCCCCCATCCCAACTTCAGATGCCAGCCACAGGTCCAGGCTGTCACCAGTGCTTCTGAGCAACCACCTGTAAACTGGAGGTTCCCAGGACCCCCTCCTTGGGTTCAACTAATTTGCTACAGCAGCTCACAGAAGTCAGAAAAACAACTTACTTGATTACTGCTTTATTGTAGAGGATA